TACCACTTTAAGCACATTTTCAAGTATCTCTTCTAACAAGTACCATTGTATACGGGTTTCGGGGATGCGGGGTGAAAAAGAGAAGAAGAGAAGAGAGAGGGAAAGAAAAAAAGGAAGGAATAATATTTTGTTTCATTTAATCAGTCCAGTAAAATTATATTTTTTCTTTTGCTTATTTCCACTTTTTAAAGTTACTTTTCAGTTTTTGGCTGTCATTTTCTTATCTATTTTCAATTTTATTAATTATATAATCTTAAAATTTTTTTTTTGTTACTCATAAATAGTATTAAAAGTTGAACAAAAAAATTAGAAATTTTTGAAAAGAAAAAATCATTTTGGTCGACATAATTCATTTATTTCACAAAATATTTCTGCTCATATTCATTCAATACAAATGAAATAAATAAATAAGTAATTTTGTCTTTACCGTGAATAGGACAATAACAACTTTGTTAGTAAATTTAGTTTTAAATCTATTTTTTTCGAACCGACGTTTCTTTTATCATTTTTTTATATACAAATATAATACTCAGAAAAGGATTATCAAAAAAAATGAAGAATAAAAATCAGAACTAAAACAGCAAATAATTTAGTGATAATCCTTTATTGAGTATTATATTTGTATAATAAAAGAGATAAAAGAAGTACCGGTTAAAAAAAAAAATTTAAAATTTCATTCATTTTTTACATTTTGTCTAATCATTTATAAAATTCAAATTAGGACAATTTGTTGAACTTGCAAATATTTAAAAGTGTTAAAATGGAGGAAAAACGATTGATTATCCGGTTGAACAACGAAAATTTTCTATTTTGAAAATCCTTTTTGGAAAGTAATTTTAATTCGAAATTTCCATCTCTTTATAATTTACTTTGCATTTTGATATTTTGCAAATTCAATTTATTTCATGCCATTTAATACAGACAGTAATACGCTGTTACCGTTGCAAAATTTTTTCAAAATACCATTGATTGGATTATTGTATCCGATTGATACGGTTGATTGGGCGGAGAAGTGAAGGAAGAAAAGAAGTAAACCAGCTTGGTCCCTTTTGTATCATCCCATAAAATTGACAAAACTTTTTGAAATGAATGTGATGATACAATTTGTATGTGTATGTATGCGCTCAACCATATAACTCAATGTGACAGGTAATGATGGTAATGGTGACAGGTAATAGTGGTAGTGGTGACAATAATGATGGTAACATGATATGTAGGTGTTGTTGATGATAATGTTAGTGATATTAGGTTAATTTAGTACTTTTTATTAGTTTCCATCTATCATACGAATACATTTCCAATCTAACTAAAATTAGAAGAAGGAAAAATCTTAAAACTTTTAAAATACTAGCAAGCAAAAATATTTTTCATCATTTTTCGTCTTTTTTATTCGTTTATATATTCTACAAAAATTAAACTTAGCTTTAAGAAAAATTCATACTCTTAGTTTAATTAATGTTTAACAATTGTAATAATAAAGATAAAACTTGAAGAATAGCAAATTAATATCTATACTTGAAAAAATAGTAAAATTTCACTACAAAAAAAGAAAGGAAGATTAAATCTTTGCAGTTTTCATTGGCAATTATTACATTCAAAAAAGTCACATCGATAATTTCTCAATCAGTACACACTCCTCTAATCTCCCTCTTCGTCTTCTAATTGTCCTTCTCTTAAATAGCAATAGTTGTTGTGAAATTTACAATATGCTACCATTTCATTCATACGTAAATCAATTTTATTTCAATTTTACACGTATTGATTTAAATTTAAATTTTTTGTTAATAACTGATAAATTTATCTATTTATAACGGTAGAAAGAACAATAGCAGTAATGTTATATTATGCTATTCTTTTATGTTATCTTATTTATTTTTGTTTCATTTTAATATATACTTAAATTTAATTATAACTTCAATTTTTTTTGCTAATTAACAAAATTAATATATTTATGCATGGATGTATAAACTAATTGAATACATAATGATATCATTTCATTTTATCTCACATCTCATTATATACATATTGCCTGAAAAGGACTATCTTCAAGGTTATACCAAATGTCCTGAAAACTTTTCTTTTGTCCCATTTCAATTCTGATCAAACTTTTCGTTATTACTATCGTTATGCCTATTATTGTTCGGTTGTTGGTTATTATTTGTGGCGGTAAAAGTACTACTTGAACGGAAATTTTTTCCTTTGATCGATTCATCTTCAATATATATATAACCATATCTTATTTTACCTGAACTCATTACTAATTTATATTTCCTCTTTTTCTTCCTCTCTTTTTCTCTTTCTTTCATCCTTTAAAATTTCCTTCGTTTATCACCGTGTGTCCTTTACACTTCCGCTCCAGTCGTACTTATTACACATCTTTTCTTTTCTTCTCATCATCTTTCATGTATTGTAAATATCGTTCACTAATGCTACCGCAATTATCATCATCTTTTGCTAATTTGGCCGTATTTTCAAGGTCAAGTTGAAAATTGACACTTCTTTTCGTGAAATTTTACGAATTTTGAATAACTAATTTTATAGTTTCTATGAAAGGGAATAAATAAATGCGCAGCGGTTAATTTATTAGAAGTAGTTATTATTTACATGTCTCATTAAAATTATTAATTTACTAATTAAATTATACAAATTTTGCCATAAAAATATCGAAACTACAATTAAATATTGCACCAAATTTTTCGTTCTTAAATATTTCAAAAATTTTTGACCTAGAAAATGATTGAATAATTTCTAAATAGTAAAAAAGAGACGAATAAAAACCAATATTTTCAGTCATTCATGACTCATATCGAGTTCGATGTGTATTTTGAAGCAAAAAATTTTGATACATAAGGCTAACAAACGTTTTTTTCTGGAACAGACAGTAAAGTTATTTTGCTAAAACTGTCGAAGAAATATTTGTTCACCAGAATCAATTAATCTAAATTCTTTCGAATAATGAAGGAATATTAATTATTCAAATTGTAACAAATTCTTACATATAATAATAAATTTTATTCACTTATTTGTTCTACTTAAAAAGATTTATACTTTTAAAAATCTTCAAAATTGATAGGCAAATATAGTTTTAAATACAAAAAATAGGTATTCACATAGATAAATAACAAAATTATTGTTAAAAGAGAAACCAAAAGGAAAAAATACGTATAACTTACATAAAGCATTATTTGATTTTATTACAGTAAAATATATATATAATTTGACATAAAAAACCAACATATGTCAAAATATTTACTATACACTTCATCAACGTCAAAATTTGTTAAAAAAATTCTTAAATAATGCAAAATATGTAAAAAATTTAATTTATATAACAGTAGAAAGGATAAATTAAAATATTTCTTCCATTTCGTTAGAAAAAATGGATATAAATCAAAAGTACAATTATTATGGATTAAAAATTTTAAATAAAGAAATTTTAAAAAAGGAAGAAAAAATATGACAGTATATGAAAGTTTTATTTCTTAATGATAATGAATTTAGTGAAAAAAAGAAAAAGACAAGAAAAAAAGTTTATTCTAAAATAGATACCATATTATGAAGTTGAATAATTATACTTCTGAATGGTTGGTTAGTAAAGCAATAATTTGTCCATCAATGATATTTCAATTCCGATCTCATCCACCGTTCCTCACTCATTCAGGCCTTAATTTACAAATTTATGCTTCAAATAATTGGCATCCTTGCATTAATACTTGCCATAAAAACCCATTAAAATAGTGCATTAGAATTATGTATGAGGCACTTATCGCTCCTCGTTACAGTATTTCACCTTCACTCTCTAGCACTTCCTTTTTCACTTCTCTCTTTCTCTTATGCATTTTTTACACACAAATTTCATCACTTCTCTGCCTCTTTTTCATCCAATAATTTTTGAATTTCTCATTGAATAATCAATCGTCACCGTTCTTATTATATCTAACCTAAATTTTGTCATTTTCTAGCTTCCATCAAAAACAAATATTATCGTTTCATTTTTAACATACTTTCTCATCAAATAATACTCTCTGTTTCATCTCTCTTCACATATCTTTCTATAAATACAAAGTAGAAGATAGACAAAAAAAAAACGATGTAAAATTATGGCATTATTTGGTATTATCTAATGCCATCATTAATTTGATAAAGAAAAAAGAAAACGAAAAAGAGCAGATGAGAAAAAAGGAATGAATGAATGAGTTGAATGATCAATTGGTTGTTTGATAAGACAATTGCATCCATTATAATACGGTATTTTATGATACGATGAAAGGAGAAGGAGGGAGTAATTTATGTCATTTGAAAAACGTCAATACAAACATGCTATCCGGCAAACCGGATTCGTTCATTCTCCAACCTTCTTTATTCTCTCTTCCTTTCTACTATTGTCAAACATAAATAAATGCTCTTCGTTGCCGTTTCAATGTATTACTGTTCCATTAAAGCGGTTTGAATTATACCGATAGTTTAACTGATCAATAAATAAAAATAGAAAATGCTTATGCTTTCTTTAGGTTACTTTTTTTTAAAAAAAAACTAATTTCAAATAAGTATAAAGCTTTTCCTCTTAATTTAGATAAGTCGAGAGAAGCATATCCAATTATTAATCACAGTCAGTAATTAACTATTTTTTAATATTAATCTAGCAAATCAAAAATTGTCTATTTTATTTTTTCCAATATCGATTAATAATTGCTACTATATCATTTTTTCATTCTCGATTACTAATTATTTAATATTTTATAGAATAGGAATAATAACAATTATAAAATTTTCCAGATGTTAAATTTGCTATATTTATTCTCTGAATCTGAAGTTTGCCAATAGCAACATATATTATTAATCAAATATCATATTGATTAAATATTAACAAATTCGATAAAATATTTGTTAAATTAAGCGACAATTTTAATCAACAACTGCAAGATCATCGCACTGAAAGAAAAATATTTAATTGGTTGATAAAATTGTAACTGAAAGATATTGCTACATGTATTCCAGTAATGAATTCATCTTTTTGGTTACCATCTCCTCTACCATACACAGCTATTTATTATCCACCAATTCCATCATTATTCATCGGTAAGTTTTGCTTTATCACTTAATCATATTAAGGAATTAATTCAGACTTTCGTTAAAATTATCATAATTTCTTCTACGCAATAATTATAATATTCTGGGTGATAAAGTAGAGTATTAACAAAAGAATAAGTACAATAAGGCGAGATATAATTAAATGACAATTAGATCGAACAAAACATTATCAAGTGATAAAGGTTAAACTGAAATATTGCCACATGAAAAAAATTGAGGTGAAATGTTGGCGGGTAAAATTTGTTTCAGACTTCAAGTATATTAATTTTAGTATCATTTGACATTTTACGGATTATTTTAGATATGTATGTTTAACAATTGTTAGATGGTTTTAATCATTCGTAATCTTATTTTCCTGTAATTAATAAACATTTAATTAAAATATAAAGTGAAACTTTTAATACAAGAATGTTTCATCTTTTGGACTGGAAAATAAAGCTTCCAAATTGATTCCTTCAGATAAAATTCCAAATTTCAAATTCTTAATATGAAATTTGATCTTTAATTCAGATTGTAAAATATCTTTTTTAAAAATATCTTCTCTAAAAAATTCATCTTTTTTAAATAGTACTGTTTTGAAATTTTCTATTACTGCTACTATTGTAATAATATTTACAGCTCATGGTTTTCCGGCAATACTTCCTACGGTACTGAAATCAGCTGTTCCGCCGTTATCGTCATCAACATCATCATCATCATCGTTACCTCAGCAATTGAAAATTTCGGAATCAGCTCAACAACTAAAATCTTCAGAAACTGTACCAAAAAAGCGTTCATCGAAATTATTTCTCGTCGAGAGTTTACTCCCATCAGTTGCTGAGAAAAAAAAAAGCACGCCATCACCGGTATCTTTTTTTAATTTAATTTTATTCATTTTAGTCAAATTTATTAAGTCTTATTTTTGCACTCAAATGATAGTCATTTGATAAAATCCCGTAGTATTATGGTGTTTCATCACAACATTTCATATTAATCCATATCTTTAATTAAGTTTCATTTATTAAATTTTTTTTTTTAAATTTCATTACCACTTGTTCAAACTGATGATATTTTCAACTTTTTCTTTTGTTTCACAGTTTTCATTTTGTAAATATCACTCTCAAAGTATGTTATCAATTTTCATTTTAATAACTTCAACTTTTGTTCTCTTTTACTTGCTGTTTCAACATCTCTTTTTCTTTCTTTCCCTTCAAATTTTCATTTTTTTATCAAATTTTTCTGCTAAACATATTCTTGCTTATTTTTCTTTTTCTCTGTTTTCAAAAGTTTGATTTCAATTAAAATTCCATTTTACGTATCACTTCTAAATAAATCCAAATTTAACAAATTCATTTGTTTGTTATACAGTCTATCATGGCTGTATTGACAATTGAAGATGAAAAATCGAGGTCATCAATTTCACTCATTCTACTATTTACAAAATATTATTCAATACCTAGCTGTACGTGCAATTCATATGAATAAGTTCATAAGTATCTATCATTTCCTGTTATTATTCTATTCCATATTTTATTTGTAAAAATTTACAGTAGAAATATTATATTTTTTAAAAAATGAAAACCATTCCAAACGACTCTTTTTGGCTAGAAAATACAATTTAGAAAACATTGATCTTTAAAAATGTTATGAAGTTTTAAAACTCACAAGTTTAAAATTAATTAAACGAACTGTTTTGTATCATCAAAATTAACATTTTCATTTCTTTCTTCATTTAATAAAAAACAAATATATTTCTTTGGATTAAAAATATGCTCTCTCAAACAGAAAAAACCTTCCATCTTAAATAAATACTATACAGTATCATAGCACCAAATTGCAGTACCGCAGTTGTATATTTGCATCATCCATGCGCTGTCTTTTAAAGTATTTTTATAACAATTTTTCTTATAGTTAAGCGTCACAACAGTAGAATGGATAAATGGTGGATATGGTGTAAAAAATCCGATGCTACAAAGTTACCGTACACCGGATATTGATACTACTCCTGATCCGGCTTCTGAACCTGGTTTATTGACATGCCGAATATGTGGCAAGGTTCCCAACTAAATCGTTTTGTTTACTTTTATTTAAATGATTATGAATTTTGCATTCATTCTTGCTATTTTTTTTTGCTCTAAAAATTACTATAACTTAATTCATCTATAATATTTTTATTGTTAAATTATTTTGTTAACCTATTTTATACATTTAGTAAAAAATAGATTTTTTTCTGTTTTCAGAAATTCGCATTACAAAGGCTTTTAAATAGACATGCAAAATGCCATTCAGAAATAAAACGATATTTATGCACATTTTGCGGCAAAGGTTTCAATGATACATTTGATTTGAAGAGACACACACGAACTCATACAGGTTGTACTCAATTATGTTCAATGCACTAATTTTAATTAATTTTTCAAAGTATTTTTCTTATTCTTTAATAACAAATGACATCATAAATGACAGAAATAGCTGCATTGGAGATGAATGAAAAATTTCTGAGTACTTTCGAAACAATATTTTTCAAATAAGATAAATATACTGGAGGAAATTAATGACTAAAATAAATGATAATTGATAATTTGAAGAATTAAATTAACATAGGTGTTCGACCATATAAATGTGATCAATGTGAGAAATCATTCACACAACGATGTTCATTAGAATCACATCTTCGTAAGGTACACGGTACACAACATAATTACGGTTATAAAGAACGACGAAGTAAGGTAATATCTTATTATTTAATTTAAAACAGATAAAAATGATATGTTAATACTAATACGGAGAAAATTAATGTAATTGGTTGGTACAGAATCAGACGATTATTATTTCTTTATTTGCATACTGTTAATAGTTAATTAAAAGTTAGGTACCAAAATCAGCACGAAATTCGTTATATAAATGTGAAAATGTGTGTTTGTCTATTGTGTTACTGTAATAATAAAGTTTACAAATGTAATCAATTTAATTCAACTTTATAAGCGTGAAGATTTGTTTGTTGCTGTAACAATAAGAATTTTATGTATTATGATATTTAAACTTTACTAATTTGTATGAATGCAATAAATATTTGTTTGATTGTAATAATCAAAATGGTAATTTAAATGTGAATAATATTTTTAGGTATTTGTATGTGAAGATTGTGGCTTCACGGCTCCGGTATTTGATCAGTACATACAGCATTTACAATTTAATCATCCATTTAGTCCACAACTAATCAAATTAACATCCACTGGTGCATTATCCAAATATCACCGGTCAAGCAATCATCGATCATCTTCTATATCATTTCCAACTAGTACATTTGGAACTTTCCATAGATAATGTCATTTCATTTTACTATTTTTTTGTACAAATTTTTTTTTTGATATTCATCAGATAATTTTGCTTTTGAAAAAAATGATAAAAATAACTGCAAAAAGAATTTGACAGAAAAATTTAATATTTCATGTATTAAAAGCTATCATTCTTAAATCAAATGCTGAATTTAAAAATTTAATTAACTATATTTCAAAGAAATAATATCAACTGAGAAGAAAATTTCCAAAGATTTTGTTTTTCCCTATTTCTTTAATGATCAACTTTTGTATTTCTTTTTTGCATAAAAAATTATTCAGTTTGTTTGAAGCAGCTTTGTCCAACATAAGTTATATTTTATGCTAACTATAAATATCAATTTTATTAAA